AGATGGGAAATCTGGATCTGATGATCAACATCTCTGCCAACTCTGAACCCCCTAATGTAACCCAAATCTTCCGCTTTTCTCATTAATCTAGTCAGACCTTCCATAACGATGAGAAAAAGAAAAGAAGATAATGGATCACCTTGTCGCAGACCACGTGAGCTAGCAAAAAAACCCGCAGGAGAGCCATTCACAAGAACAGAAAACATAACTGATGAGATACAAGTGTCAATCCATTTTATCCATCTATCACCAAATCCCATCCTCCGAAGAAGATACAAGACAAACTTCCAATTAACATGATCATAAGCTTTCTCGATATCAAGCTTACACAAAACGCCAGGAACCCCGCTTCTTAATCTAGAGTCAACACATTCCCCAGCAATAAGAACAGAATCCAAAATCTGCCTTCCACCAACAAAAGCGTTCTGCGATTCTGAGATAAGACCATCCAACACTTTACTCATCCTGGAAACAAGAACCTTGGCAATAAGCTTATAAATACATCCGATTAAGCTAATTGGCCGAAAATCCTTGATATCAGATGCACCGCCCTTTTTAGGGATGAGAGCAATAAAAGATGCATTCAAAGATTTTTCAAATGTGCCATGAGAATAAAAATCCTGAAAAGTACTCATCACCTCCTCTCGCACCACCTCCCAACTCTCCTTAAAAAAGCGCATAGTAAATCCGTCTGGCCCTGGTGCTTTGTCCCCGTTGCAACTAGAAAGTGCCTTAAGCACTTCCTCTTCCGTGAATGGAATCTCAATACTATCCCTATCCATCGTAGAAATAGTATTAAATGGAAGACCATCTAGAGTAGGTCTTCGATCCAAAGTTTCAGTGTAAAGCTGCTGGTAAAAAGAAGCAATTCCTCCGCGCACATCTTCTTCTCTCCACAAATCAAAACCATTAACCCGAATACTTCCGATATGATTACACCTTCTGTGAGCATTGGCCAGTCTATGAAAGAATTTTGTATTCCGATCACCATCTTTTAACCACAAAGCCCGAGACTTTTGACGCCACGAAATCTCCTCCATATGAGCAATCTCAGCAAAAACCGCTTGACAAGAGGCTCTTTGAGAGCGTAAAGACTCCTTACTCTGTCCCACCTCAGCTAAACGATCAAGCTCAGCAATATCAGCAAGGGCTCTATTCTTTTTCCATTCAAGATTCCCAAAAACTTCTTTATTCCATCTCTTAAGCTCAGTTTTAAGAAACTGAAGCTTTCTAGCTAACACAAAACTAGCAGAGCCTGTGAAAGACCCTTTTTGCCACCAAGACTGAACCTTCCCTTGAAAGTCTTCAGATCTAAGCCACATGTTTTTGAATCTGAAAGGAGTGCGTCTAGACCTCAAACCACCACAATCCAAAACAAGAGGTACATGATCAGATGTGACTCTAACCAACACAGCCTGAGAGACATCCGGGAAATGCTCTTCCCAATCCCCAGAAATCAGGAAACGATCCAATCGAGAAAAAGTAACCGGTTCCCTACCATTAGACCAAGTAAAAGCCGCTCCTTCCAACGGAAGATCGATAAGAAAATTATTGTCAATAAATTCTGAAAACATGGTCATTTCTGAAGACCACCTACCTCCTGTGGATCTCTCAAATGGGGATCTAACAGAGTTAAAATCCCCACCTAAGCACCAAGGCAATGACCATAAGTCCTTAACAAAGCAAAGCTCTTCCCACAGGACTGGTTTATCACTATCAGTAACAGGCCCATACACACCTGAAAACGTCCATTTGAAATTGTCTTCTTCCATCTGAAACATGCATGACACCGAGAAAATACCCTTCCAACAGTTCAAACTTGACAACCATCTACGATCCCACATGAGGAGAATACCACCTGAAGTGCCTGTTGCATTTAAAACTTCAAAGTCCACAAACCTACATCCCCAAAGACTCCTGACAATCTCAGTAGTAATATCAGCCAATTTAGTTTCTTGTAAGCAGACAACATGAGCACTCCATTTCCTCAAAGCGACCTTGATAACTCTTCTTCTTTTCGGGTCATTAAGACCACGAACATTCCATGTTCTAAGTCGTAGCTTCATGAAGAACCAAAAACAATCAATTCACCTCCTCCCCTTTTACCACTCCTGGTTCTCCCCCTTTCTTTGGTCGACCCATTCTTTCCATCGTAGTTAACACAAGAAATCAAATTCTTCACTTCCTGTTCGCCTTTCCGATGTGAATTTCTGACTTTGACTTCTTTTGTGTCACGAATAGGTTCACTGCTACCATTTCCTGCAATAATTTCGTGGAGAATACACAAGGTTTGTTCCTCATAACCTTCTGCAGAGACACCCAAAGCTTCACTAACTGCTCCAACATTCTCGATGACCCATTCCATGCCCAGATCAGTGGTTGTCTCCAAACAATCAGGCCGCACAACAGCCAGAGGTTCCATAAAGTCCACTTCATCATGAACAGGATCTGTCCCGGAAAAAGATACGTTAAAAGGGTGCTGCTGAAGAGCAACATCAACCTCTCCTTCCTGTAAAATCCCCTCTATTTCCGAAGCATTAACTTCTTTGGATGGGATTACTGAACACTCCTCATGCTCAGATGAAAAATTGCTCAAACCTTTAACTGAAGTAAATAGCCGAAGCTCTTTAAGCAAAGCTACGGCTGAATCATTATTCAATTTGAAATGCAAATCTTTTCCAACACAAACTGTCACTCCATTGAAAAAACCCGTACTCTCGGTAGTAACCTTTGAGACGTCCAACTCTGATTTAGAAGTCGAAATCCCAATGATACTTCTCTGTTGACCCGAAACATTCTCAACAACATTCCTGTCGCTAGCCACTTCACCCGAAGAAGAAGGAGAAGAAGTAGAAAGAGTGTTGAGAGAAAGATTAGGACTCAAACCTGGAGAAGAAGTGCGAGAACGTGCGACCCATTTCTGCTTTTCATTCCGAGTCCACCGAGATCCATGGCGTCCGACGTTCGTCAATCTCCTCTCGGATTTCATCCAAATATTAGAGGGTTTGGTATGGGCTTGTGATTCATTAGGACCAGGTTTGATGTTTGTAAGTGAGATAGATAATGAGTTAGGCCCTTTTCGTACCTTTCTAATAGGCCCAGACTTGAGAGGCCCAGTTTGGAGTTGCCCAGTTTGGCAAATCTTAGTGGCCCTTTCTGTAGTCTTCTTCTAACAGGCCCAGAACCCAAATACGCTCTGTAAGGTTGAGATTGAATGAGCCCATGATTATCAGGCCCAAATTTCCTAACCTGTCTTGATAACTTATGGCCCAAAGTAAAACCTTTATCAGCCCGAAAATAATCCTTCCCTACCTTATCTTCAAGAGATAAGGATAAAGCTGAATCTGAAGGGGTAGCCCACCGTTCACCACGTGTACACCGGTGTTGCTCATCAACGACGCGTTTGCTCGGCGTGTGAATCTCACCTCGTCGTCTACCTCCAATAAACTTCGCCTTTTGCTGAATTTCACGATCCTTCAGCCACTGTTGAATTTCGAGAATCCCTTCTTCACCTTTGCTAAGAAGCTCGTTCCATTTTTCTTCCGACATAAGATGAGATCCGTCACTGCCTTCAAGACTTTCCGTTGAAGGAACAAGCTCCGGCGAAATTTCTTCCCAAATCGCGACCTTGTAGCAGAAAGTGTCGTCGTTGATATACACAAACTTCGGACAATCACGACCAACTCGTACTATTATCCGAACGCTTTCAGCATCCCTGGTCTCATCCGCGTCAGATCTGACATAACCACCACAAAGTTCTCCCACTTCGACAAACAGAGCATGGCACCATAAATGTAATGGAAGTCCAAACAACCGGATTTGCTTGAGACCTTGATCACTGAGAACGCCACGGCAACCAACACGAAAGGACCACACATCGATCCTCAAAGTTGCAGAACCCCATTGTCTTCGCCCTTCTTTCAACACACGTTTGGCCTCTGCCTGAGAAGGAAACCGGAAAAGAAGCATTGAATCGGATAACGGTGAGACCCCCACTCCACAAGTCGTATTCCAAGCCCTCGCTGCCCATTCTTTCACGCGATCGCAACTCCCCACTTCCTTGTCAAATTTTCCTACCAAACAAGAGGAGAGAACAGATATCCTTCCTCTGACGGATTCCCCGTCGATATACAACGACGGACCGCGATGAGGAACCGCCGACTTCACATCTCCCCCAAGCGAAATTCTTGGTAACCTTGCGATGTCCAGAAAAGATTTCATTCCAAACAACCAAAACACAGATCGCCTCACAAATCGCCCCTAGTGGGGTGAAATCGCACATAGTGACGTGTACATATTACCGAGAATTTATTAAAAAAGACTAGACAATTAAAATTTTAAAACATGTTCTAATAGCTTTCTACAAAACTTCTAAATATTAACAGATTACTTGAACGCATAATAATGCATAACACTTTAAACATTTAATACAACGCCAAAGTATCTTTAAAGAAAGTTTGAGAATCACTTCAAAGGAAGTTTTAGTTTGATAAGGTGTAGTGGGTGGAATCAGACTTCAATGAAGCAAGAAAACGTCACAAATGCACTTTATCTTCACGGGAGTATAAGACTTTTCAACCCTTCCTTGTAAAAGATAAGTAAGTTCCTAAACTCAACTAAATGAAGATTCCCTCATAAATTTGATCAGAAAGACGAAAGGAATCAAAATAACTAGTTAAAATACAACTGCTTTTCAAAGGATAGTCTTAAAATTCTAAGTAGTGTACAGTGGACACTGGAAAATCCTGTAGTTTATAATGACTATATTAAATCTATAAAGGCTAATAAACGCAGGCTTCATTCATGAAACCTCCTAATTAAATAATCTAGTATTTCAGATGCATTTCTGATACATTGTAGAAGCATCACATACTACCACAAGATCGTTCTACTTACAAAACCCAGCTGAGTAGAGATTGCAAAAAAAAAAAAAAAAATTCAACAGAGGGTATATCGCTGTATCTCTAAAACTATGGTAAAGGGGAAGAAAAAAAACGTACTTGAAGAAGGCATAGCATGAATCTGTCACATATATACACAAAGTAGAGAAGAAGTTAAACAACATTATTACAATAATTTATCGAACTTACATAATGGGTCTAATAATTTTTTCCCCAGCTGAGACAACATTGATTGAATGTTAGAGTCACAAGTAATAATACCCAAGATACAAAATGAAAAAAGAAAAAAAATCCACCATCTGCTAAAAAAGCATGAACACTAAACTGCAACAATAAACAAACTAATCCAAGCAACCATAAGCAAAGAAAATTACGAATTGCATAAAAGAATGAACAGAAGGTCCAAAAATACTAACATCGACTCTACAGAAACCCTAGGTTTGAAAAATTCAATAAACATTCTAAGAACTTCTAATTATTTGAGTCTGTTTAATTTAGAGATTATACACGTGTGTGCGCGCGCGCGCTTAGTATGTTAGAATTGTAAAAGAGAGTACCTTTGAAACTGAGAGTGTTCAATGGTTTGGAGCATGAGAGAGAAGTCAAAGTTGCACCTGAAACAACAATTTGAAAACCCTAAAATTTGCTCAACAGAAAGAGAAAATGACGGTGTTGAAATTTTTTAGGCTTTTGATTTTTCTGTTATGTGAAATTAATTAGTGCTCGTTGAGAACGAGGTGAGAGTAATCTGTGCAAGTTGGGCAGTCCAACCCAGCCCGATCTCAACCCAAACTCAACAGGTTCATTATCGTTATCTTAGTAAACTGAACCCGAAAATTTTTGGGTCAGATGGGCTGACCCGTTCAACCCTTTCTTTTTCCTTTTCTTTTTTCCTTTTTTCTTACTAACAAATATACAAATTACATTTGTTTCTTTTCTGATTTGAAACATCAAATTTTTTAAGAAATTTTTAATTCATTAATATTTTTTTTTATTATTTTTTTTTTTTCAATGTGATCAAACAGTTAGTACTGAGATTGAAGTATTCAATTATTAATTTTTGTGTACTTTGACTCTAATTTTATTTTTATTAAGACAAAAAAAAAAATAGAACTTTCTTTATTTTATTTTAAATATAAAAAAAAATTAATTAATTTTGAGTTTTGGGTTGGGTTGGGTTGGGGTCGAGCCCGAGCTGAACACGCCTGAATTTTGAGAAAACCTAACCCAATTTGAGCCCGATTTGAGAATTAAAAAGTCCAAATTTAAAATTTTTCGGGCTGGGTTTTGGTTGGGCTAGGTTAGCCCACCCAAGTTGAATCCCCGGTTACTCATATATGAGCAGAGTGACATTATTTAATTATTACAGTAAATATTTATTACAGTACTCCATTTTCCACTTTGGAAAATATCTATACTTAATCCTAATTAAAAGTTGGTTTATTTAAACTCCCCTTATTTAGATACAACTTTCCTTCTCTCTTTTTAAAATACTATAAATGCTTCTTCTTCTTTTTTTCTAAAAAAGTTGATATTTTTTTAATTGCCTTAGGCTGTTAAAAACATTTCGACCCTAATAATACAACTGTTTTTAGTTTTAAAATTTTAAAAGGACAGATTGCATAAACACTCTCCAATATAATGTTAAAAATGCCCCATAATAAAAATTTATATTTTCTTTAAAATAATTTTCATTTTAAGTTTTCTTTTTCTTTTTAATTTTTTGTAAAAAAAAAAAAGTTATGAAAATTATGCACCAATGACAAAATTTTCCTTTAATATAAATTTAAGAAAATTTAGGTTTTCATTAAAATGATTTTCATATTAGGATTTCTTTTCCTTTTTAATTTTTTTAAAAAGAAAAATTTTAAAATTTGTACCATTAAAGAGATATTATAAAGCACCATTAAATTAATGTTATAATGATTGAAAATTACACACCATTAATAGCATAGCGGTGTTAGTAAGGATCCAGAAGGTAAGTCCCTAAGGTCTCGCTTTCGAATCGCACTCCTGACTTGAATAGTGCATGTGTTGTGGTGCTGATACACGTGCTTTAAGAAAAAAAATAAAAAATGTGCTTAATTTTCTTAAGTTTCCATTTCTTAAAAATTAAAAAGATAAAAAAAAACCTAAAATGAAAATCATTTTAAAGAAAATCTAAATTTTTATGGACGATACTTAGGTCCTCACTAGTGAAGATGTACACCGCCCTTATCGCTTGTAACGACCCGGTCATTTACCTCCCTTTCCTTTTTCCTGAAATTTTACGGATAAATTTTTTTCGTTTAATTTTCTTTTCTGAGCTCTGTTTCTTCTCGCTTAATGTCATCTCAAGTGCTCGGAAATGGTTTCTGAGACTCTTTTCTGTGGATTGACAACTTCCTTTAAGGACCGAGTCATTTCTGCATTTTCACTTTTCGGACACTATGCGTCTTTCGTCCTTTTCCTTGTTTCGTCTTTTTCCCTATTCTGTCTTTTCCCCGTTTGTCACTTGTTTTGCAAAACCTCACTTTTTATGCTCAGAGTTAGTTTTTGACTTCACGTGTCTTCATCTTGAGTAGTTTCCTCGAAATACGTATCTTTACTTTTGCAAGAAAGTACTCTGGTTACTCCCGGTGTCCACAGAGGCATAGATGCACAATTCTTCAGAATCTTTTTCATTTCTTGGGGTGTTTTTCATAAATATCTTTTGAAAATATTTTATTTCAGGGGTATCTAAGAAAATATCTTTTGGAAAATATTTTCATTCTAGGGCATTTTCGCAGTTAACCCTTTTTGTAGGGGCCATTGTGCAATTAACAAAAGTTATTGCAAAATACCTCGTCTGGAGCCTGGATCCTCATACGGGATTCATTTTCACATTTCGTTGACTCGTAAATTCATAGAATTCCGTTCTGGTCGTTTTTCTCCAATTTCAGAGTTTTTGGACTCGGTTGCCGCCGAACTTGTTTGGGGCATAACTTTCTGTTCAGGACTCAGTTTTTGACGCCGTTTCTCCCGTTATTCATATTTTCTCATTTTAAATCTTTTTCGTTCACGGAGTTTTGCATTTGAGCGCGTTTGCTCAAAATCCACTTTTCCGGACCCGGCGGGACCCGTTCGGGGCACTTTTTGAGATTTATATAAAAGGGGGATGAGATATTTCATTTTTCATCTTCCCCACTCTCCATGCACGACCTGAAGCAGCCATGGATGTCCATGGAGCTGCCACCTTCTCTCTCCTCCTTTGATTTACTTTTCCTAAGTGAAAAGTCTTCGGCTTTCACGTTTTTTGTTCCCCTCGACGTGTTCTATCATTCCCCCTTATTAGAATTCATTTTTGACCATTTCTTGAGTTTGGGTTTGAGGTCAAGTTGTGATTTTCATGGGACTTCCTTCGGATTCATGTAGATCGTGTTGTCCCCGACAAAACCCTTCCGTTTCGGCGAATTCAGGACACTTTTTTTTCAGTGGAGATTTGAGGTTTTCATCTCAAATTAAGGTAGGGGGTGTTCTAGGTTGTTTTCTTGTTATATAGCATGCTTGTGATGCTTATGATACTTGTTTACATGCTTGGATATTAAATCTAGAGATTTTAATTATTTATTTTCTAGCATGTGATTTGATTTTCCCGGTTGCCTATAGCCTTGTTTAAACATGTGGCATGATAGAATATTTCCCCTTGGTATGTAGATTAACATATATTAAATTGAGAAAAATTGGACAAGTAACGAAGATTTTATTTAATATTTTACTAGAATAAAATATTAATTCATGTGGCCTTAACTAGCTTGAAATTGATGTGTGTTAGCATATTATATTAGGCCCTAGCATGCTCTTCAACATAGGTAAATTCGAGAGTAATCGGAGATGTTTTAAAATCTAGAGAATATTTAATTAATTGATTAATTAATTTATTCCGAGTGTACTATTCACTCCATTTAATTTCCGACTTGATATTCATGATGTACATGCCATATAGTTTCACATATATTTAATCCAGAATATTTGATTAGGTTTTGAAACCTTTCATTTATTAATTTCTAGTATTAAGGTTTAATACTCATAGTTGTATCTTACATGTAATTCACTTGTATCGTGTTTTTAAATCAAGTCTTGACATGTTGTATATTATACATTAACTTGAGAGCAATTGGATGAATTCCAAAATCTAGAGTTTTTAATTAAAAAGGATTAATTAAAACCTACTCAATGATTCTTTGAACTTAATTAAGTTTTTAACTTGGTATTCATGATCTCCTTGACAAATTCATTCACGTGTGTCAAATCAAGAATAACCGGATAAGTTTGAAACTTATATTTAATTAATTCCTTTGTATGGAACTAAATTCACATGGTTGAATCTTGTATGAAATGAACTAGTAACTTGATCTTAGACTTGTCCTTGACATGTTCCTTGACATGCCTTGTTGTAGAACACTTGGACTTACCTTGTAATCTTGATAACTTGATCCCTTGAGTAGATTAAGTTCCCTTTTTATGCTCCCATCGGTTTAATCATGACTCCTAGTATCATGACTTCATTAATATGTTTAATGAACTAGTACATTTGTCTTAAAATGATTTTAATTACTCACGTGTTGCTTAGTAATTACTTGAATCATGTATCTTATACTTGTGGTATATCTACTTCAATGGAATCCTTATGCTATGTACCTTGGTTATAATGTATATAGATGCATATTATGATTTCTTGACATTTCACATGCCATTATAGTTGATGAACTTAGGGCATAACTTGTATGTTCCAAAATCTTGGTTGTGTATGAAACATGGTTAATGTATTTATTGTATTTGATACAATTTTGACTTGCACAACTTGTTGATTTTCGGACTTGGGATATCAATCAAGAATTGACATGGTTAGGACTTGGTTCTAGTACAGGGGAATGTCCTCCTACAACTATAGTGCACATTAGGGGAAAGGTACCCATGGGTTAGTAGCCCTGAAGTGATCTCAAGAGTACGGTTTTAATCCGGGCGATATCCGAGTTTCCACATTGGTTGATTTCACTCTTTAAATTTTAAGTTGCTATTCCTTGAAGATTTAAACTTGTCGTGTTATGTGAAATGCTCCAATCTTGTTTCATTGCATAGATAGTATGCCTCATTCGTGATTTCAAATATACTCCTTGTCATGTTAATCGCATCGATAATATAATTCTTGTTAACATATGTCCGAGCATACTTATTGTCATGTTATATAGAATGTTCCATCCTTGTATACTTGCATAGATATTATGCCTTGTTCTTGATTCTGTGTATAATTCTCATCGTGTTAATTGGTTTAATTCCAATCATGTAAATTGCATTGATAATGTGATCCTTATATTTCATTGTTTTCTTGTCGTGTTCTTTGGATTATCCCAACCATGATTCGTTTCATATACGTATGTATATCATGATTCTTGTTGCTTAGACTCTAAGGTAGCTTAGGATGCTCCCTGAGTCTCACTTTGACATAGACGTTAGGTGACATGAGTCCCTTTAACATGTTTCACCTTAAGGTGATAAATTTGTAAAATGCTAGGTCGATGCATGCTCATTTCCTACGAGTAGCTTTATGTTGCTCACCCCAAAGTTACTGGGGCATATTTCAGGTACGAAGACTTGGTTCATGATGTTTAGCATTCCTTGGGTGGCTTGGAGACTTGAAGTCCTTTTAAATGCATTCTTGATCACATGCAAGTGTTAACATGCTTGAGTTCAGTTTTTGAATTGTATTGTGTAATTAGGC